AATTGTAATAGAAAGTGTAGTTACATGTGATGACAGTGCTTCACAGTTTAATGGATAAGATGCTTAAAGTGCAACACAGTCATCTCTCTAGATAATCACTGTGCTTGTAGTTTCCTAAGAACACAGTTAAAAGAAATTGTAAGTTTCTTGATTTCTCCTTCCAGGTAAAACAGACAATTGCCAAGTCAAACAGGACTCCAGGACAACAGGAACATAAATTTTCAGTGTGGTAAGCAATACACTGAGCTTCAGTGATTCTTGTCCCTCCCTTCCACAAAACTCCTTTCATGTTCCCTAGCTCTGGGTGCCAGCTGCTATACTGACTGTTGCACTGCATCTTTGTCTTTGCCCTTCTTCTTTTTCTGTAACAGCCCTAACTTCTTTTATAGGCATATCCTGGCACCCTTTCCCCACTCCAGCTCCACCTCGCTTTCAGTAACACCAAAACAAAAATTAGCCCAGGTGCCACACTTATGTAACCCATACACTTCTCTTTCTAAGCCTGCCTGTTCTGTCATTTCCTCTTTCCACTACTTGTGGCTCTTCCATTTTGCCTTGTATTCAAAATTAGATCGATCCTGGGAAGAAAGACTGCACGACAGTTGCTCAAAGGGTGTGTCAGCATGGGTTTTTGACACTCAACAGTAATATAGACACCTGGACCTTTTGCCTCAGTCCTGTTTCTTGGGGTTGTTTAGTCTGGAGAAAAGATGACTAAGGAGAGGCTCAATTAATTCTCAGATACATAAAGCAGATGCTACAAGAGGAAGCAAACTTCTCTTTTTGTCTGCTGCAGATAGCATCAGAGTCCCACTCGCAAATAATCAGGGAGGCTTAGGTGAGGTACTATGATTCTTCTGACCAAAGGCAGACATCCAAAATGGAATCATCTCCACCTGGGCTAGTCATCCCAGACTTCCTTTGTAGTCAATTACAGGACAGAAATACTTTGAGGGGCAAATGCATCTGACCTAATTTAGGTGACTCTGCAGAACAGCATGAATTGGATCCCGGACAGGGATATGTCCACTGCAGACATCTACCTTTAGCCCGATGAAACAGTGAAGATAAGGGAATGGATCTGATTGCCAAACTCCTTCCCTGGAAATTTGTACAATTTTGACAAAGCTCTCACAGATGTGCCCAAAACATTCTCCCTGGGAACAGAGAAAGGACTATGAAACTTACCAAGGTCCCCTTGAACCCTGTCTACTAATTTAACTCACACCTGCCACTAACACTTCCTCCTTTTTTGTCTCTTGGATAACCCTGGGCTTAGATGTCCCTGGGCTTGACATCACCACTTCTTGTCTTACCTTCCAAATGCCCTGTTGGCTGTGTCTTTGATTTGAATTTGGATGATAGCATGAGAACGAGAGGAATCTGAGTTGACTCCAGTGACTCCTGTGCTACGTTCTTTGCTTCCCCTCAAAATTACCTGCAAAATAAGGGGGACAAAATCCAAGCAAATTATAAATAAAACCACAATCTCCCAGAAAGAGATCTTGTCCTCCTTAGATGAGGAACCATTACAAGGAATGGTTCATTACAGCCTTAACATTAGTAGCAAGGCAGAAGTTAAGTCACACTGGATCCCTCTCCATGTTTCCTTCAGAGCTCTGTGTACAAACTTGCCTGCAGTGACACCAGGAAGCTTAGAGAGCACACTGCAGGTAAGAAGTTATTGCATCACACACTCACTCAGATTTGCAACTACATCCAACGCAGTATCCAACTATAGAATTCTTTCCTTCATTGCTGGCATACTTTTGTAAGACTGCAGACAAAACCAAAACCACTCACAAGACTGACTCTATGTTGTGTTCTTTTAAATTTTCGCTTTCTCTCGTAGTACATGGCTACAGTTACCCAGGAAGTTGCATGAAAAATACAAAGTACCAAAACCTTTCTAAATTTCTATAACTAAAAGAAATTATGCCACAGTAAAGAACAAAGTTGAAAGGTCAATTATACTCAATACAGCAAGAAAAGAAGAATAGAATGAATAGAGGCAAAGCATAAGGACGAAGACTCCTTTGAGATAAATCTGGATGATTCTCTTTTGAGGTCTTTAAAGGACTGTTGCACAATGTGTAGCATTTACTGCCATGGGATGTTCCTAAAACAGTTATTAATTTTGTTTCTGGTTTTAAGAACAAATTAAAATATTGCCTAGAAAAATCAGTAAGTTCACAGTCAACAGATGTGAATTACTCATGTTTTTCACTATCCAGTTCTCAATAAGCCACCTAACCAACCACTACACCTCCCAAGCATATATGGGTACTAAAGGCAGATAATTTCTGAATCAAAGACAGCATCAATGAATAGTGAATAACTATGGATGTATTCAAAGCTCTTGCCACATATCATAGTTTCCAACAGTCCTGGCTCACTGGGGAGGTCCCAGATGATTGGAAGTTGGCAAATATCACACCAATCCACAAAAAGGGTTGTAAGGAGGACAAAGGAAATTACAGGCCTGTCAGCCTGACCTCAGTGTCTGGCAAAGTCATGGAGCAGATCAGCCTAAGTGTGATCACACAGCACCTACAGGATGGGCAAGGGATCAGACCCAGCCAGCATGGGTTTAGGAAGGGCAGGTCCTGTCTGACCAACCTGATCTCCTTTTATGATCAGGTAACCCACCTGGTGGAGGAAGGGAAGGCTGTGGATGTAGTCTGCCTGGACTTCAGCAAAGCCTTTGACACCATCTCCCATAGCACACTCCTGAAAAAGCTGCAGCCCACGGCTTGGACAGAGGCACTCTCTGCTGGGCTAAGAACTGGCTGGATGGCCCAGAGAGTGGTGGTGAACGGTGCGGCATCCAGTTGGTGGCCAGTGGTGTTCCCCGGGGTCAGTGTTGGGCCTAGTGCTCTTTAGTATCTTGGTTGATGATTTGGATGAGAGGATTGAG